GCTCTCTCCTCCTGTCAGCATGTTCCTTGTTAGCGTTTGAGCACTGCTTCACAACTGACTGGATCCTTGTGATGCTTCTCCCTCCACCACACTAAACTCGGCTCTACAGAGGGTTGCAATAGGTTGACGCCAGGCCATATTTATATACTTACATTTGTTTCATTTAAAAATTACATTTAAGGATGTATTTATGACACATCTGCAGTAGTTTGGATCCTATTTTATCTGTAAAGAGATGAACAATGGAGAACAGATTTCCAAACTGGTAATTTTTTAAGTTTTTGTTGTTTGTTATTTTTGAGTCTGTAAGAGAAAATTTTGGTAAACAGCAGTGTAAACAGGGCCGGATTTACTCTCTCTGCTGCCCTAAGGCCAGGTTCCTCAATGCGCCTCCCTACCTGCCAACCCCCCATGGAGAATGGCAGACCTGCAGGCTGCATTCAAGTAATCTCAGCGAAATCACCAGGATCACTTGTACAAAACAAGCGGCGGCTTCCCCGCTGTGCATTTAGCTCTGCTTGCCCAATCAGGGCTAAATGTAGAAAACAACTACCCACCCGGCGCCCAGGACTGCATGTCCCGGGCATTGGGAGATAGGAATTCCACATTCCTGCTGCCCCTCTACTCCCTGCTGTGGGAAATCCGGCCCTGAGTGGGAACATTTGTTTATGTATGCCTGGAGGGAGCCCACTCCTTCTTAAAGGCACTGGGGGCCCAAGCGTGCATTTTGGATTGCTTGGCCTCCAGTGCGTCTCTGTGCCTTTTGAGGAGTGGGCACCCTCCAGACATACCTGCATTCAGTTTATCTACTGCTTAAATATGCTCCAATATGGAGACTCACAAAAATTGAGTTAGGACCACACTATACAGAGGGGCCTTGACGAGTCAGTGCGGCTTCCACTTATATTACAATAGTTGTGCAAGTAAAACCTCTGTTTTTAACACACACTGTTATACAGGGCAGTTCGTTTTGTTGCAGGCTAGCCGGTAAGTGTGCTGGGAAACATCTGTATTTTGTATTGTTGTAAGCTCTTCCATGTGCACCTTCCTACAATGACTAGTTATAAATTGTGCGACTGGCATGTATTGTTAGCTTGTGGGTGGCATGAGTCTCAAGTCAAATCCAAATCAAGTCAAATTAAAGGGCCAGCAAACATAAGTTATTGCATGAATTGTGTAGGTTACAAATTATTTTCATAGGTCAGAATGTACAACTCTGCTTTATTGTGTAGCACATTTTGTATCTTTCTAGCTTAAAATGCATGAATTCCCACCTGTACAAAGAGGATATTATAATAAAACTCAGCCCTGCTATGCCAGTTCTTCCCATCACTTACCACAATAAGCCAATTACACAGACTCCAGCTCCACCTGCCATCTTTAATGTGGTCACAGCTCATTGCAGTATCTCTAGTGAATCAATTTCTGTGTATTGTATGTAGGATCCTTTCCTAGAGAGACCACAGCACCCACACCTGTCATTCTGACAATACATGGGATGCATATTCTTATACGTCATGCTGGGGCAGTAGATGGCATGCTGCTTTTACACAGTTATGCCGGGTTATGGAGTAGGGTGCTACTTCATTCACTCCGTATATTGGCACCTGGCAGCCAAATTATTATAATGTCCCTCAGGTCATTATCAAGGTGTTTTATGTGAACTGCAGATCTTTGTGACCTGACTGCTCCTGTTACCCTTTTATGAATATAGTGTAGTATTTTGCTTGTCAGAACTCAGATTTATTATTTTTTATTATTATTATACAGGATTTATATAGCACCAACAGTTTGCGCAGCGCTTTACAATATAAGAAAGACATTACAGTCACAATACAATTTAACCCCTTCGTGACGGGAGACTACAGTGTACGTCCCGCCACAAAGTGGCTATATGACTGGCCACGTAATATTTTTAGTTACTGATAGCAGAGCTGATTAAATATAACATATTACCAGTTCAGCCAGTTTCTGACTCTTGAGGGCTGCCGGTATACACACACTAATTCTTTCCTAATCGGCCCGGAATAGCTTGTTGTGCCCACCCTTCCTCCCACCCCAGGTCATTCAGGGTCAGAGTGAGCCATGACTGTCTGTGTCTGCACTGAATGATTGCATCAACATTGCTGACACATTGGGGGACATTTCTCAATTGTTTTGCACAGCAGAGCAATGCTTAGCAGGGGAGGTGAGACAGATCCTGCAACAGATTTACTACAAGGTTACAGTTTGAGTCATAACTTCCTCCCTCAGCTTTGCTACAGAGGAATTCATATTGATGAATGGAAATGTTCTTCATGATTCAGACCTGGCTGGAGCTGTACCTGAACGTTTACCCTTCCTTTCAGCCTAAGTATGTGGTCACAGGACCAACCACTGTGGGAGCACTGTGCAGTGTTTCCTGTAAGGCCAAAAGATATTTGGAACTTCGTTAGAATATTTATTTTTTTTCGTTGTAGGTCTTTTTTTTTTTTTTCTAAGTTGTAAACCTTGATCATTTAGATTTTTATTTGCTAAATACACCATGAAAAGGGTTTTGGTATATCTGCTCGAGAAGTGAAAAAATTACTTGTTGATCTTGCCAAAAAACCTGTGAGCTGTTAATTTGCTGTTCTCTCTGCTTGTGCTTACTGTTATCAGATGCTGTTCCCAGTTCTCTCTGTGGACTACAGAACACCTCATCTCTGTTATGGAGAAAAGGTAGAGGGGTGTTCTGTAGACCTTCCCTAGGGTGACAACATTGTGCCTTATAGACACAGTTAATGAGTGCTGTCACCCTGGGACAGGAATTGTTACTGGAAGTATCATCAAGTAAGAATAAAGGAAAAGGCCTGGAAAAAAGGAAACGAATGCAGCCATCAAATCTAAGGGCTGGTAAGCTGCAAGATGTTCAATTTTGTCCTTCGCTTACACACTAATGGCAGCAACCGCTAGTTTTTACGATTTCTTGTTGGTTGTGTGTAATTCATGGTTTTAGCCAGGAGGTGTCGCTCTCCTAGATCCTGCTAATAGAATGTACAGTATATGGTCTCTGTCAGTTTGTGTCTGCATTTATAGACTTGCATTAATAGTGAAAATTCCTGGCATGGAAATATCACTGCAGCCTCCAGCACTGGGAAGCATTTCCATTCTCTGAAAGGTAACAAATGTCCTGAGAGGTCCCCTGTAACTGCATGTGTACCTGTTGACATGTCATTGCTGAGAGGATTGTCTTCTACATCAGGGCTTTAGCATCCAAACATAGTTCCTGATCCGTTAATTTTTTCATGCTTCCCCGTGGCCTGTAGTCCACTTACACTATGCTGTTCACTTATTAGCATGAAACCACAGAGTCTTTCTTAGGGACAAAAAAAGGGACACCAGGCAATGTATACAAAAATTAAATCAGCCTCTGGTGTGTGTATATATATATACAAGTGAAACTTGAATAATTAGAATATCGTGCAAAGTTCACTTATTTCACTAATGCAACTTAAAAGGTGAGCAATAAAATGCACTATGCAGTCAAGGGTGCCCTGTACTTTTAAACATACTCTTATCACTTTAAAATGTGTAGTTCAATTTTAATTGCAATGCCTTCAGGCTCCTCGTGATTTACCCACAACCTGGCTAAAAAAACTTCCACTGGGAGAAATCAGCATCATGTTGCCTGTGATCTGGGATACCCCATAAATTGGGCGCATCCCCGGGATCACTCGAATTAGTGCTTCCCATCTTTGAAGACCTGCACATCATCATTCATTCATCTTTGTGCATCACAGTACATTGCAACATGCTGCTCTGCTAAAATATTTAGCACATCCTACTTTTTTTTTAGCGCACTCCACTGCTGAATAGTGGTGTGGACTGTACTAATAGGACATAAGGCAAATTGCCTTGGCTATGCACTGGGACTGTGTTGGACAAGGCTGCCCAAAACAGCATAACACATACAATAAGGTGTGAATGGGCCCTAAAAGATGCTGGTCATCATTCAACTATGAAGACTAAGGATATTTAGGGGCAGAAAAGATCTACTACAGGAGACAACTCCAGTTTGAAGGTAAGTATTGCAGCAAAAGCTCCTCTTTATTTTATCTTAATGGGCTTTTGAGTTCTGCTTTAACTATTGTGAAAAACCCTTGTATGCTAGCCCAGGAGCCAATACTCCTCAAAAATGACAGTCTTGAGTGTTTCTCTAGTTGTTTTCAGTGGAGCTGGCTTCAAACAGTTAAAAAAAAACCCTGCTGTCTTCTCCTGAAAGTTATATTCATTTGTCCACCCCTGCACTGGCTCACTTAGACTTAGCAGGGTCCATTTCATGTGCAAATGTAAGGGTGTAATGCACAGAGAAAATGCCAATAATTTTTAAGCTGTTTATGCACAAGGAGATGGGCTGATGAGGTAGCTAGAGATTTATAAAATGATTTTTGTTTAAAAAAAAAGAGTGTGCTAATCCATTGCTTCCCTTTTATTCTTTCTGAAAAATGGTACGAATCTACCATATGACTCAGAACAGTGATTTAATGTCCCTGACGTGTCTGTGATAGGGAGATGGGTGGCTTTGTTTTGCTTTTGCAGTTGGCCTCGGCACAGTTGGTGCCATCCTCTGTTATTATTGCTTTTGGCACATATTGTTGTTGTTAACATCAGTCTAAAGATATCTCCAATACATTTTCCATTGAATGAAAGTTTTGTGTTTGGAACAGTTGCTATCAATTCTAGAGACCGATCTACTGGTAAGGTCAGCTACACCCAAAATTTAATTTTCTTAGTTTCATGGTAGTTGGCAAATTTATAACACATGGCGCCTTCTTAATATCTCTCAAGAACGTTATGGTTGAGATATCCTCATTACAATTTAATGCTGCCCACATGTCTACAAAGTGATGATGGCACAGAAGTAGATCCTATGTAGTGCAGAATAAATGGGGGAAAATGTCTGTAACAGGTTAACATCTTTGTAAGAGACTTTTACAATGCCCCCTCCTTAAGTGCGTTTTGTTCATCTTTCTTTAAAGGATGAAAGGCAGGATACAAGTTCAGAAGGAGTTTCCAATGTAGAAGACCAGAACGACTCTGACTCCACTCCACCCAAAAAGAAGCTAAAGAAGACCGAGAACGGGCTGTACGCCTGTGACCTCTGTGATAAAATATTTCAGAAGAGCAGTTCACTGCTGAGACACAAGTATGAACACACAGGTAGGTCATCACTGCCGCTATTTTCATGGTTTACTTTTCTGCAGTGTTATAAATATGACCCGTGACTTATACAAATATACAAAATGTGTTTTTGTACTCTGCCTACATATTTATCTAATCTTCTCTTGAAAAGATGAGGGTGGCATACATTTCTGGATGTGGGCTTACCCTAATTAAGAACGGGTCATTTTGTTTGTGCGTTGCGCTGGATGGGAACCCTGAGATTGACACATCATAGATTGACAATTCTGTGGCCTACTTGTCCCGGTTTCCCAAGAGCTTTAAAATTCACTAATTAGCAAAGCAATTTTACACTTTTACTTGCTTTTCTCTGAGCTCCCATAGACCACACATTTATCAATAATAATGACATACATAGAATGTTTTAGAACATTGCTTACTGATGGTCAGATGAGGTACCATGCTGCAAATCTAGACAGTGCATCCAGGGACAGAACAAAGGTCAAAACAAACAAGTCATGTTATACATCTTACCCATCTCTGTATAAGTTTATTTAGTGAGCGAGCTTACATTTCAGAGTTCTTTATGTTTGAAAATAACATAATGTAAGCTGAAAATATAGCCAGTCTCCATGACTACTGCCCGGGGTTGCCAGTACTCTGGCTTTTTCAGTGGACTCTTCTCAGTGGTGGACCAGTAAGAATGGCTATTCTTCCAAAAGGACATAAAAAAAGAAAACACATCTATACATTTGGATGTCTCTATCAATGCATCCCCAACACTGTTAAACATAAATAAAATATTAGAACAATACAGGTGTATAGTCTTTGGACCCTTAATACTTCTCTGTGTGCTGGAAGAAGTCCAATGTAGGCCTAAGACCCAACACTTTAATATGTTATGGTCTAAATTTGGTTTCTGCTGTGAGAAAGGGTCTACATAACTTGGGCCAAGTCTACCGTAGTCTCTGGGTGTCAATGCCCTGTAGCAACCAGCTTGTCAGTTCTGTAGTCTGGGTGGGCACTCCGCATTCTGGTTTTATGGCATAAGAAGCAAGCTGTTTTTTATTTATTTATATTTAGCCTAACTTGTGTATCAGCTCGGTCAATTTAAAATTTAGCAACTAGCACATATCCCCCTGGTTCTGGACAATTGCCAGGGCTATGTAGTTATCTCTGTTGACAACTGTTCTACGCTGCTGCTTCTTTTTCAATCATCAGTCAGCCAGGAAGAAAAAGTGGTAAATAGGTGTATCTGACTGGCAGGGCTTCCGGCATAGGGTATATATGACGTTAGCCTGAAAGAAAATCTGCCTGCCAGTTCAGAATTTGAAAAGGGTTTGCCTAAGAGCACGCATCCCAAGGAGCTCGCTGTTATAAATAATGGCCAGAAAAGCTTCCTTTGTATGCCCCTCTGAAACTGGTTTCGCATTATTCTTAAAAGGGTGTGACTTCCCATCCAGCATGTCCCTGTCCACCAAGAACATTCTTATTGGGCACTATGGTACCAGATGGGAGGTATCAGAGGGCCAAAATGAGGGTAGTTAAGCCCTTATTAACAAAGCGAAACCAGAATATTAGGAGTGCACATATCTGACTAGCAAAGGTAAAAGTCCTTACTGGAGACTGGAATTTTATTTTTAAGAGTAAGTTGACGGACCGATCTGCTTAAAGTGCACCATTGCTTTTTGGGGATCATAAATGTTGTGAATGGGGAAGGTAACGTAGGTCCCCCAACAGCCTTTCTTTTTCCAGTGCTGTTAGAGTCGTTTGCAAGGGATTTTTTAAAGCTGAACTCCAGGCGTATATAAAAGATGCATATTAATGCAGCTCCGCTGGCCCTTCTTGTTCTGGCGAGGCAGTATTGACATCCATATATTGGTACTGCCTGGAGAGGAACCCTCCTACTGGTGGCCTGGCACAGCTAGGAGATGTAGTGATGCCACTAGCACTAGAATTGCTCTTTTCTAAGCACAATAATAAGATATTTAAACATATGTATTTGCTTTAGCTGTGCATGGAGAGAGGGAAGTTTGGGTGCAATAAGAGTGCATACCAGAGTTCATCTTTTAATGGAATGAGGGGAATGGTTTGTATTACCTTTTGGCATGCTTCCCTAAATGCCTCATTATTTAAGAACAATGAAAGTATACCTTCCCTGTCCACCAAAAGCACACGTTTCTATTCACACCAATACATTTTTCCTCCTTTTGCAGCTCTCTAATTAGAAGGCTGCAGATGAGATCGGTGCTGGTTTTGTTCACCTGTTTTGATCAGAAGAATAGAAACACATTCACACCTGCTAGGGCACGTGCCGATTACTATGCGATGTGTATATTTCATCTAATAATGTATTCTAGACACACAATCCATCTTTCACACATTCTCTCTTCACATTTCTAATTAATGAAATGTAATTTGTTCACTAAACTTTGTAGTTTAATAATGACAATTGAAAAGGCGCTATGCGGCACTCGCAGAGGTTTGCATTAATCACCCATTACATACAAATGCATGAAAGCAAAACCTCCCGCAACTCATCTACACTGGATTTAAACTGCACTGTGAATTTGAAACAGAATGCCGTTTCTGCTTAATCTGTTATTCAGAGATTCATTTATTTCTGCCTATCAACCTGTGATTTGTTTTTTGTTTTTTTCATGCAGACCAAAATAATCTGAGAGAAAGATAAAATGATGTATTTAAGGGCTGTAGGAAGAACAGATGCCATGGGGAACTCTAAAATAGACAAAGACACCTGCTGGGAAAGAATGTTTTTTTAGGAAGTGGCAGCTATGTTTAAAAGACTACGCTTAGATGGCAGTTCATGGAAATCAGTCAACTGGGGATTATTGGAGTGCAGTGCATATATCCCACTTACCTCTCTGCCGCCATTAAAGAGATACTGTCTCCTTGCCCATGCAGGGCAGAATGACAGCGTCTCTAGAAAGGGCCAACCCCCATATTCTGAGTTCCTATGTAACAGAGACTTACCTGCCCACTGGTAGTGTATTCACCCACATATATAGGTTGTTTGTATACATAAGCAGGGATCAAAACTGATGACTACATGCATTTTTTGGTCAACTACCATTATTCCCTGCACAGTTCTAGAGTTTGGGTCTAGTACTGAAAGTCTGAATCTGATTTGGACAAATATGAGTGGAAATTAAGACTTTCAGAATTTAACTGCCAGTGGCTCAAGAGTATTGAATATTGTCAGTTTTGTGTGACACTAGATAATTAGTTTAGTCAATCAGTCAACTGCAAGGAAACACTGCAGGTGTGCAAAAGTTAGAAAGGTCCACCCTTATGGCCAGTTCACAGCACAAAGTCCGCGTTCCAAAGCGTTCGGCCTCCGGAATGCACTGGAACGCAAGCCGGCTGGCTCCCTGCGTTCAGGGGCAGGAGGGGGCGTGGCAGTGCATTGAAGTCAATGACATCGCAGCCATGTCCCCCTCCTGCAGAGCGATTGCCTGCACCCACATTAGTGCATGCGTTCCGGTCCAGTGCGATCTGGAAAAATACTGCAAGCACTATTTTTGCAGATCGCACTTGTCCGGAACGCAGGTACTAATATCCCTGCGTTCCGGTTGCGGGCGATCGCTCTGCAGGCGGGGTGTGCGGCTGCGGTACATTTGACTTCAATACACCACCACGCCCCATGCCCCCTCCCTCCCCTGAACGCAGGGAGCCGGCCGGCTTGCGTTCCATAGGCCGAACACTCTAAAACGCAGACTTTGTGGTGTGCACCGGCCCTTAATCTGTTAAGTTTTATAACAATCAAATGCAGCCAGGTCAGGAAGGCATCTTCCATTGCTTCTTGATGGGATTGTGACCTGATGTCAGGACATTCTGTGCTATACAATGTGTGTGTTTATAGAACCTTACTTTAGCCAGCCCACATTTCCATAGTCTTTCAGGGACCTATTTAAGAAATACAGCAAACTTTTCCTCCCTAGAGAATCTTGCCCGTAGTGACCGGTTTCCCAAAGGATGTTATCCACTTTTGTAAAAAAATACTTTTTATTTCATCCTGCAACTGTAGGGTCATTCAGATAATGAGGATTTAATGACTATAGGATTTCAGACCTCTGTGACATTTTACATGTAAACATTTTGGGGGGGAAGTTATCAAAACTGGAGCAGACAAAATCTGGAGCCGTCGCCCAGGGCAACCAATCAGCTTCTCTCTTCAGTTTGTTCAATTTAAAATTGAAAGAGAGAAGCTGATTGGTTGCCCTGGGCAACAGCTCCAGATTTTTTTCTGCAGCAGTTTTGATAAATTCCCTTCTTTGTGTTTTTGCCTTGGGTGTATTTTACCTACAAAAAGAATGCCAACAATCTTTAAACTAACACTCACATCTGTACTTTGTTACATCTTGCAGGTAAGAGGCCTCACGAGTGTGGAATCTGTACAAAAGCATTCAAACACAAACACCATTTAATTGAGCATATGCGCCTCCATTCTGGAGAAAAACCCTACCAATGTGATAAATGCGGCAAGAGGTTTTCACACTCTGGGTCCTATTCCCAACACATGAATCACCGCTACTCATACTGCAAGAAGGAGGCAGAGGAACGTGATGGCACAGAGCAAGAAGAAGCTTTGCAAGAGACCCTAAGCAACGAGCATGTAGATTCCCAAGCGTCTCCATCTCAGATAGACTCTGATGAGCGCGAGAGCTTAACACGGGAAGACGACAGCGAAAAAGAGGAAGATGATGAAAAAGATACAGATGATGGACAGGAAGAAAAAGAAAGTGTGGAGATGCATGATTCAGATGAGGCAGAACTGGAGGTTGAAGCAGGACCATCGGAAGGTACTTCGAAGGATGAAGAATGTGTAGATAAAAGTCAAAACGCGGAATCAGAAGTCACAGAAAATGACGCGTCAGAAAATGACGCTGCCCACCCTTAGCTGGTATTTTTTTTTCCAATATGGAAAATCTCTTGACATTATACTGAAATTTATTCTATATTATACATGCTTTTTCTCTGAAACACAGTAGCATATATACTGTGATTTCTGTTCACTACTGTGTTGGAAAAAAAAAAAAAGAAGAAAAAATCCAGGTGTGCCTGAATCTCAAACTTAGAAATTTTTCACAGCAATTTTAACATTTAGGAATCCAGTTTGTTACAAGTATTGTCAAAGATATATATAGAAATATGACTCTGCAATTAAAAATGAATCAGGTTTTAATGAACCTACCCATCCTGCTCATATACACATCTGGAAACATTTATTTTTATCAGTATTATGTTTTGTTATCGTGTCAGTTAGTTTGTACATTTGAGAGAAAATTTTATCTTTTTTTTTTTTTTCCTTTTGTTATTGTTATTACCGTTACAGACATCTACTAAATCTGCATCAGTATTTTATTTTATTAAGAAAAAAAAAATGTGAGTATAACTGCACTACAAAATTCCTTTACAAATAATGCATATTTTAAAATGTTAATACTACCTTGCCGTGTCCAAGACAAGGTAGAGTTTTATAGCTGATATAGTTTGCAAAGTTATTAAGTTACAGCATACATTTAGCCTTAAGAAGACAGCAGCTTGGGAGTAGAAGGTGTGTTCTGATCAATGAGGTTAAACTGCAAGTATTATTTTTCATGAAGCTCCATTTTGCAGGGACTTAACAGCTTATTCTGGGGAAAAAATTGCAAAAATCAGTGTTCCTATTTGCTTGAATATGTAGTACATATATGAAGGATTTAAAGCTATGTATCTCCTTTTGGCCTTATGCAAGACCTTCTGTGCTGTAAGTGCCATTTTCAGTATTTTAAAGGCTGGAACTAGCCTTTGTCGGTGGTCTGTAATCACTAGCATTTCTGGTATTGGTATCCTCGTAAAGCTAGCCAATATTTGTTTGGTTTTTTTAATGCCCAATTCCATTCTTCGTTTTTCGACATGTTTTTTCATTTTCTCTGCTTTCTTTTAATAGAGCTTTTGATTTTGTTTGCTTTTTTTTTTCCTTTTCTTCCTTGTTTGTTCTTTTAATGGCCAAATCCAAAAATATTTCTTTTTTTCTGTGTATTTAAAATTATTAAAAAAAAATATTTTACATTCAGTGAAAAAGTTAATATGGACCCACCCATAGGAAGACATTTTTAAATGGTCCTCTTGTGAAAAACTAAAATAGAAATGCCAATATTTGCTCCAAAATGCTAACTATTATAGACCGTGTTTGTTAATGGTGTTAGCTAAAAAAAATTACCTATCAGTATTATTTTTAAGTTCATTTAGTTATAGGTCTGTGCAACATTTTTTTTGTACTGTATGTCTTCAAAGCCCTGGCAGTATTAATACCCTTCTTACTGACCTGTACCTTTTTAGTTTTAGAAAACTTTTATATTTATGTGTCTTATTTTTATATTTCTTTATTTATTACACAGTCTAGTGTATAAAACTGTAGTTTGTATTAATACAATAATATATTTTAGTATGAAATTTTGGAAAGTTGATAAGATTTAAAGTAGAGTTACAAATGGTTCTCTTGCATTGAGATTCGATTTTAACAGTGTTATGTTAACATTTATACTTGCCTTGGACTGTAGAACAGGTAACCTGAGACAGGAATGTATTAGATTTCCACTTGCAATCAAATCCTTGTTCCCGTTTATCTGGGTTTTGATATGTAAAACCAAGTTTTGAAATTCACTGTGAGACACGTGGCTTGAAGCCAAGCAGTTTATTTCGGATTACCGTTAATCACCACAATGACTGTCCTTAGCGAGCCAAATTAGATAACTTTACGAAACAGTGTTGGGAAGTGGGAACAAAGTTTAACATGTTTGTGCCAATTAGTTCCTGTATCCATATGTTTTTTCTTGTTTGGGTTTTTTGTTTTGTATTTTTTTTTTTTTGGCAGGGAATAAAACCAACAAAACATAACTTTTTATGTTCGTTGTTATATCATAGTCATTTTCTAGTTTTTTACCAAGCTCCCTCTCTCACAATAAAATACATCAACAAGTATATGTCTGTTTATGTCTTATTTTATTCATGTATTTGTGCTGCTAAACGTTGTACACAACACGGTTTATTCGTTTTTTTGTCAATTCTAGTAGAGGGAAAGTCCATCCTGTTTTCGGTAGGGAAATCTTTTATTACGGTAGAGGATGTTATGTATGACATGCTAAAAAGCTGCAGAAAAAAAAACACCTAACTACCAGTGATTGATATAACTCACCAGCAACTGGTCAAAATAGTATTACAACCGAAGACATTTTACAGTGAGGAGAACACATATTCATAAATACATTTCATTATTTCAAAATAAAATGATTTTTGTTCAATGTTGAGCACTTGTACTTTCCTTGACAAAAGATTTGACCTGCAAACCAATAATTGTATAGCTCTCGACTTATCAAGTTTATTTGAGAGGATAAAGAAAAAGAAAAACCAGAAAAGTTTACCCAACATTTATAGGGAGGTCATTTTTTTTGTATTGTTTCTTTGTATTTTGCCGAATGTTTTTATGCCATACATAATACAATAATGAGCTCTCTTCTATAGTGTCCCTAGCAACACAGCCTCATTTAACATTCATACTCTGGCCGGTTTATGAGGTATGCCTATCTAGTACTAGGTGGGACTCACTTCAGTGTTCAGAAGAGCCTACATTTCTGTGACATGGATTGATGCTCGAATGCACTGAGATCTGAAGAGTTTGCAGGCAGTTGAAGTGACAATCATGTTCATGAGACAAGTCTGAGATGATGATTGTTTTGTGACATGCATTAAAGGAGAATTATAGGGAGAGTGAAATACACAGCTTCAGTATCACACATCGGCTCTACAGATTGAGAACTGAGCGATCACATACTGCTGATCGCTCAGTTCCTGATCTCCCTGCAGAGAGCGGTGACTGTCAGTCATTGCTCCCTCCAGGGATTTCCCCTCTCCCATGCTCCAGTGCTTGACTGTAGGGATAGACACGGGAGGGGGCGGGCACAGCTGGTTCTGCCTCTAGAGCTGTCAATCCAGTAGTGGGGTGGATCCCAACAATATGGTCAGGATCTTTCCTGGCCGCAGTGCGGCTCTGCATTGTCAGCATATAGCATATGCTGAGTTTTGGGTCACAGGAGGACATAGTAAACATCCTCCTGTGACCCTAAAGAGAACTATGGCCAAAAAAGTGACACTAAACTCAGGAGTTAAATATTAAAATTGCATTCAAGTACCTTAACTATTAACAATACTGGACCTTTATTTGTGTATCACTCGGCTGTAGATCCTCAAATCATCTCTGAATTGGTGCTGACACTGTCCTTCCTTCTGGAGTGGGGCTACTTTTGTTCCCCGTGGTCCCTGTGTGCATTGTAAAGTAGCCACCGCTATGAGCTCACTCCCATAATGGACTACAATCTCATGTTTAGTTTACTAATTTGTATTGAGTTTGCAGTCCATCACGGGATTGAGCTTGGAGCGGTGACTACTTTACAACACACACAGGGACCATGGGGAACAGAAGTAGCCATCCTCCAGGAGGAAGGACAGTGTCAGCACCAATTCAGAGATGATTTGAGGATCTACAGCCGAGTGATACATTTTTGTTATTAGTTAAGGTACATTAATGTATTTTTAAGATTTAACTCCTGAGTTCAGTGTCACATTAACCTGCTGGAACAAGTACTTGGAACTGTGGACAAAAATGGGAGCAAAATGTCAGCAACAACAGGCCAAATGTGTGTCAAGAAGCCACTCTCCCCAACATTACATAAAGTTTCAATATATATATGTAATATTGCAGGAAGCTGTGTGAATTCTAACATCCCACATCAATCCTACCACAAAAATGTACCTACCAGAAATAAGTACCATTGTTTGTAGCCATCAAACTCTCTCCAAATAGGGTGGAATATACGAGTTTACCAGGAACAGCTTTTGAAGTAAGATGGAATACAGTGGGATATACTGTACTTACCTGATCAAAGGGAAAAACAAACAAAGTAGGCAACTGGCTTAAAGGAGCCAACAATGAAACTGCTCTGCTGTATAATGGCAGTATGTGTATTTTCTCAAGTGCCGGATTACTTTACATTTCTAATCCCCAGTCTCAAAGAAAAAAATGAACAGCAGGAATTATTGGAGCAACTGTCCTCATAGCTGTAGAGCATAAAGATGCAACGGGGCTCGGCAGCACGGAGAACTCAGTGCTGGATGTATAACAATTCTACTCATCTGCATTAGGCAAATAAATGCATTCCTGAACCACCATCAGATTGCTGTGACCATATTAATTTGTTGAAGCATTAGATATTGTTTTAGAAGAGCACTAGTCTCCGTAGTGAGATTGCCTTCAAGATGTTGTTTTCAAAGGAAGTACATAAGTGCCAAAACCACAACACTGCAATGCATATATCAGCTAAATAAAGCTTTAATGAGAGCTTCATTACATACCAGGAACATTATTCTGAACAGCTGTCAGATCTTGACTGGTTGTGCTTCACGTGACTACTTCACCTAAGGCAGAAATACCTATTTTATTTCTTACAGGTTCATGAGGGATCGCAGACCTCTAACTACCAAAGACAATTGAGCTGATTTGTTAATCTCTTGCTGTTGAGGGAAATGTAATGAAACCCTGTCATACAAGGACTGTGGGGTTGATTTGCAAAAGGTAGTTCACGTTGCAAGGGAATTTGCACTTTGCAGGGGAAGTTTCACCTTTAGTTTAGTGAATGTGGGGAAGCTCTGCTGACTTCCATCACCCAATCATGTGCAAGCATGATTGGGTATTCTTTGCTAAGTGACATTTCACCACATTCACCAAGCTAAAGGGAAACTTCCCCTGCAAAGTGCAGATTTCCTTACAAATCAAACAGCCTATTTGCCTTTTGTATTTCAACCACAATGTCTCTGCAAAGGCATTCCCCAATTCCCCTAAACTAACCTTAGCAGAGCTCCTTCACAGCTCATTGTTCCAGCACAAATGGTGTGAATACCTGGCACCTGTGATGGAGCCCAGGCCAGGTAGTAAATCGCAAGGCCTGAACACCATTACATGACCGAGTAAGTGGCATCACTACCGATGTTGCCAACAAAGCTGAGCAAGGAGCATCAATGGAGTGCAGGTAAGTGGATCTTTTTTATTGCCTCGTTCACACCATGCTCAGTGCTTTGCGGCCCGAACACTCTGGATCGCATCGCGGCCGGCTCAGTTTGTTGTGGGGCTGGAGGGGGCATGGCGGTGAAGTGAATGGCACAGCAGCCATGCCCTCCGGCCTCAATGCGATCAGCCGCATGGGAACGCAAGGCACATCAATGCCTGCTGTCCGGTCCAGTTAGAAAAATTAGTCCTTGCAGCATATTTTCTGACTGGACCGGACTGCAGGCACGGATGTGCCTAGCATTCCCGTGCGGCCAATCGCACCGCGCATGGCCGGCTGCAATGCGATCCAGTGCAAATACACAAAAAGTGTATTTTTAAGCCTTTGCTTCCCTGTCATGTAATTGTGTTTCTAATAGAACTTAAGAGTAAAGCAGCAACTTGAACTCATGAAAGTCATTAACTTTTCTGCTGAAAATGAAGATTTGATAATCCTGTATCTTAAATATTCCATGCTTTGTTAGAAGGCTGACCACAGACTGATGCATGGAAAATGTCACAAAAGCTTAATGTGAATGAAGTGAATCACAGCTTACAAGAAATTTCCATAACCATACAAACAGAAGGCACTGCAGTAGATGTCTGTGTGCCGTATATTGAAACTTCATATATTTACCAGGTTAGATTTGTATTTAAAGGAGAACTACAGTCCAGCTAGAAGTCACTGCAAATGTATATAATCTCTAAATGGGAGTTGCACCACTGGTTAAGTGGACAGAACCTCCTAGCTGAGC